CGCAGCCATAAAGGAGAATAAAATCATGAACTTCACAGCAACCTGGATTGACTTACGAGTCTATAATACTGAGTGATCTTTAGGAGAAACAAAGAACTGAGTACCACATGTTCTCACTCTTAAGCAGACCTTGAACAACTATCGTAATACTATAAGAAAAGGATTGGCAGTAGCGGGAAACTGCAGGGGGGTGGGGAGGTGGGTTTGGCAGTAGTGGGAATCTGCCTGGGGAAGGGGGGGCACCTCATCAACAAGGGTACCTGCATAATGAACATTTGTATACTTAATCCTGAATTGTACCCCATATCTTTAAAATAATAAAAAAAAAAGACTACTGGGGAAAAAAAATGCTAATATGCTCCAGCTAAGGACCAGCTAGCTGAACACACCTATATTCAGACCAAGTTGAATTTAATGACTTGTTGCAAGGAGGAAGAAAATGTGAGAACTCTCAGTAAGAGGCTGTTGTAAAAAACTAATTAGAGAATTGAGCTTTCGTTAGGTGATTTTGGGGAAGCTTCAAGGTTTCTCTTTGGATTGGATGCTGGCAGAAAACTGATAATTCTATAACAGGATATTTTATTTTATTTTTTGAGTCAGAGTCTCTCTCTGTTGCCTAGACTAAAGTGCAGTGGCCACTCCCGACCAGCCTCGACCTGCTGGGTTCCAGCGATCCTTTCGCTTCAGCCTTCTAAGTAGCTGGAACTACAGGTGTGCGCTACCACGCCCGGCTAGTTTTTGATTAGACGAGGTCTCACAAACTTGCCAGGGCACGTCTTGAATCTGCGGGCTCAGGCAATCCTCTCGCCTCAGCCTCCTAAAGTGCTGGGATTACAGGCTGAGCCACCGAGCTCGGCCAGGCTATTTTAATATTTGCTATCTAGAGGGCAGGAAGAATGGAGCAAGGCTAAGGATGTAATTGGTGAAGAAAACAGCAGTCACTTTTATTAGCCAGAATGGTCATTTTTATGGTTTGGAGAATGTTATTGTATTTGCTGTGTTCAGACATGATTATGAAGAGGTCTTATTTGTCTCATTTATTATGGTCACAGAGTATCTATGACTAATGTTAAAGTTTTGTGAGATTGTTCATGTTCAACAGAACACTCAGACCTAGGTGAGAATGCCAGGCCAGCTGTCTGTACCACCAATGCCTAGCTGATAGCACCAGTCTAGCTCCTGGCTGTCAGAGCTGCTACAATTGCTCTCTTCCTCCTTGCAACAAGTCATTAAACTCAACTTGGTTTGAATACAGACTTGGTAAGAACAGACATGAAAATCTCTTAATCTCTTTCCTCTTACACTGTTCAGCTAGCTGGTCCTTAGCTGGAGGATATTAACATTTGTTATAATCAAATGTCAACACTCTATCTAGATGTATTCCTTCTTTTGGGTCACCCCTTCAGGTCCCCTTCCACTGTGGGAGCTTTTCTGTTTTCTCAATAAATCCTACTTTCTCACCAAAAAAACAACACCCTCCTTCCTTTATTCTTTCCTCCTATACTGTTTTTATTTTATTTATGGCTCATAATCACTTTTTAAAAAACTTTTGGTGTTTTCCACTAGAACATAAACTCCATGAGGGTAAGGATTTTGTTGTTTTCAGGAAGATAATCTAGCTACTGTATAGATGATGGTCTAGAGTAGAAATAGGTTCTTAGCAGGAAGATTAGTTCAGGTTGTTCAAAGGTCAAATACATCAACTACTACAATTTTCTATAATTGAAATTTATAGCTCTTATTCATAATTTTTTCCTAAACATTTAGAATATTTACTAGTATTATTTAGGCAATGTGTTGCAAAATTCATTACAGCTTTGGTGACAATAGCAGCAGTTTATTTAATCACTGATAAAATACACAAGACTCTGCTACTGGCTGTGGTAAAGAAAGAAAAAGAAGGGTTCAAGATAATCCCAGTCCTTAAGGAATCTGCAATTTTGTGGAGATCTAGGGTGGTAATGATGGTAGGTGGTTAGAATAGACATGAAACTCTATTAACTATGAAACACAAGTACATTTGTCATAAGAGAGGCACAGAATCCAATAGGTAGATTAAAGGACAATTTGCTCATGGTTGAATGGCTCAGCAATTGGGAGTAAGAAAACTAGTATTGTAAATTCTGGCAACACTTCAAGTCTCAAGAGTCAGTTGCTTCATCTCTAAAAACAAGAAGTGGGAGGCAGATTGTATGGAAAGTTCTGACAGGTTTGTATGGTGCCTGGCTGTCTGTATAGGAATTGCATAGAGAGCTTGTTAAAATCAGGTGGTGATTCTAGGGCCCCAACTACAGAGAGCATGAATCAGCCTAAATCTTTTGAGATTTACTCATGTTGTTTTCTTTTATTGCTAAGTAGTATTTAATTAAGCGGATAGACCAGTTTATTAATCCATTTTCCTACTAATGGACATCTGGGTTGTTTGCAAGATTTTGATGATCATGAATAAAATTGCTGCGGACATTTTTGTACTAATCTTTTTGTGGATATATTCTTTTATTTTTCTGGATAAATACCTAGATGTAGGATTGCTGGCTAATAGGGTAGACGTGTGTTTAAATTATAGGTTTAAGCCGGGCTCGGTGGCTCAGCCTGTAATCCCGTGCCTTTGGGAGGCTGAGGTGAGTGGATTGCCTGAACCCGTGGTTCGAGATCCGCCTGGGCAGCGAGACCTCATCTCTACAATAAATCAAAAAAAAAAATCAGCCGGGCGTGGTAGCGCATGCCTATAATTCCGGCTACTCAGTAGGCTGAGGCGGAAGGATTGCTGGAGCCCGGCAGGCGAGGCTGCGGTGGCCGGGAGCGGCCACTGCACTCCAGTCTGGGCGACAGAGTGAGACTCCGACTCAGATAAATAAATAAATAAATTATAGGTCTATTTTTTTTTTTTAATGAGACTGTGTTTCTTTATGCTGCCTAAGCTGGAGTACAGCGACTATTTACAAGTGTGATTATAGTGCACTACAGCCTTGAACTCTTGGGCTCAAGCTCTCTTTCTGCTTCAGCAGCTGGGACGAGAGCCACCACTGTACCCAGCTCTGATATGTCCACTATTTTGACATGAATAAAAGGTTTTCCAACCCCCCCCAACACCCCAATAAAAAGTCTTATACCACCCTTGCCTTTGGTGAAAGTACAGTCTAGTAGAGATGGTAAAGGATCGATTATAAGGCCTCAAGCAACAGCTGCTCACCAACGGGGCTCTGAGGCTCTAGAAGGTTTCCTATAGGCAGATGGTTGAAAGCTATGTGGATACTATCTGTAGGTACAAGAAGTTTGGGCGGTGCATTTGATAGTGAAAAATGGATACGTGAAACCCTTTGACGAATATTTGCCTCTAGGTTTCTCAGAATTCTATGTTATTGTGATCAAGCCCATGAAGGGGAATCCCTGAATGTGACACACATAAGTAATTTCTAACAAAGAGGCCAGTATTAACAAAGGTTTGCTGGCATGTTTGCGTGAAGGCTGAGTGACTGGCCACTGCAGAGGGAAAATCAATTGGTCTCCAAGCCAATGGGCCTTGAATCTTGCAGTACTGTCTCCTCTGTCAGACAATACTCTCAAGTGGTCCTTAGTAGCCTTGATAAAACAAACAAACAAACAAACATAAATACACCTGCCACTTCTCTCCCACCCTTCATCAGGTAGCCAGCCACTTAAAATAGAAAACATCAGAAAGAAACTCCATCCTTTCTTTCCAGAAATGGCCGCCCATGTATATCCATCCTTTATCTAACCTTTCCTCATCACCTCCAATCACAGTGATGGCATCCTTCCTTAAGTACTCTCCGTTCCATCTTTCCCCCTCATCTCCTTCTTTATGCTGGCTCATTTCCAACAGTATTTGCCTTCTCCAACTTCCCCCTGTGAAAACTAACCTCTCCTTACCAGATAACACTCTAGTTACTGCCCTCTCTAACCTTGTTAGAGTGCGACCTTCGAAAGATGGCCCGCACAGCCTATTTCCTCTGCATAATCACGCTTACAATAGATGACGGGATTCCGAGGGTGCAGACAATAAAGTTATCTACAGCGTGTGGCCTGGATGATGGATGGCTCGTTGGGATGAGATATCGTCTTGCTGTGTAGAGGTCACTTGATAATATGCTTTCTTTGCCAAGTGAAGTTGTGCAAAGGCAGTAGCATGCAACAAGTATGAAAACTAAGTGGGCACACGCAGTGGTGCTGCACAACCAAGCTACCCCTCCATGACTCGGGTCCGCATCACCCAAAGGCCGCCCATCGGCCGTGCCACCTGAGGGGCGGTCAGGGACCCCACGGGTCCTTCCGGCGGAACCGCTTTTCGGCTCCGAAGTGGCCACGGTTTCCGAGTCCCGGGTGGTGATGGGGGGTGGAAGGTGAGGGGAAGAGCCGAGCGGCTCCCGGCCAATGGCAGCTCTTGAACTTACACCTCGGAGACGTCAGCGCGGCTGTGTAAACGGATGTCACACAGCTGGCTCGGAAGTGTCTCCTCCTCCCGCCTCAGCGAAGGGGCGTGCGCCCGGCGGCCTGAGAAACCCAGGGCGACGCGAGGGAGGGGCGTGCGCCGCACCCCGCGAGCCCCGCGCCCTCGCCGGCCAGCTTCTTCCCGCAGTCCCAGTCCGGCAGCCGTCCCGGGTGAGCAGTCGGGCGCCGGGGGCCCCGCCCCGAGCGCGCCGCCGCAGCTGGCTCCGCCCCCTCCCGGAACGGGATGCGCGCTCCTGCGGCTCCCAGCCGTATCGCGGGCGCGCGCGCCGCCGGCGGAGCCGCAGTTAAAATGGTCCGAGCAGGACCCGGCCTTGCCCCC